GGGAGGAGGGGGAGGGGGGGAGGAGGAGGAGGAGGACGACGACGACAACGACGACGACGACGACGACTACGAAGAAGAAGGCTTGGGGTACAGCTCAGTGCACAAGTGCCTGCCTGGCAAGCACAAAGTCCCGAGTGTGATCCCCCATACCAAATAAATAAAGAACACTACTATCATCTCACTTGAGAAAACCTAAAAAATTGATACAGCCAGACAGATGGTGTACACCGATAACACTAGCCATTTGGGAGGCTGAAGCAGACAGATCCCAAGTCCCAGCCATCCTGGGCAACTCAGTGAAATCTTGTCTCAAATTTAAAAAAATAAAAAGCAAAAGGGCCTGAGGTGCAGCTCAGCGGCAGAGTACTTGCTTGGGCCTGGGTTCCATCACCAGGACCATGAGAAGAGAAAACGGACCAAAAGGCAAAAAAGGTAAACATAAGAGCCAAAAGCAGAAAGCGTTAGCTGTAATAAAATAGGCACACAGAAGTCTATTCCAACCCCCAAATTCAGGGATTGCAAGACTCCTCGGCTTTGCTCGGCCACAATAAAACCCTTACTCTGCTTGCATTTGTACATTTCCTTTGGGGAACACACTGCATGAGTGATCTGAATCAGACGAAACATCAATTCATGCAAGCACAGCCTACATAGAGGTCTTTTCTGTGCACTGTCCTGGAAACTGAATATTCAAACTTCAGGACCCACTTTTACATGTGTATCCACAGTAAAAACCAATATGCCTAGAGCTGATGTCCAGGCTGATCAGAGAATAGTGGAACAGGAAGAGAGAAGCTAACAGTGCATTTTCATCTGGCACTCGATGGCATCACAGAGATGCCGAGGTCTAGGTCTGCTAACAGCTTGAAGGGCTACAGCACCAAGGTGGTGCTAGTGCATACAAGGTCACCAGGGCGGGATGAATGAAAGGGTCCCAATGTGCCAGGTGAGATCACTGAAACTGACCACGAGTATGGGGCCTTCCTCCCAGGTGGAAGCTTGGTAAGTAATGAGGAAACAGAGAGCAGGTACCACAGGCTGGGGGAGAAAGTGGAGGGGAGGACAGAGAGGCGTGGGTGAGTGGATGTAAAACACAGGTAAGAAGAAAAAGTTCTAGTGCTTTACAAAAGCAGTTCTGGCCATCCTGGGCAACTCAAAAGCAGCAGGCTAGCTACAGTTAACAATAATTATATACCTCAAAATAGCTTCTAGAAAGGATTTTGAATATTCCCAACACAAAGAAGTGGTGAATGTTTGAGACAAGTAGGCTAATTACACACTGCCAACACAGATTGTCCATACAGGGAAATATCACATTGTACCCCATAAACACATGCAGTTAGCATGTGTCCATAAAATACCATTTTTCAATAAGAACAGACCCCAGCGCAGGTCTGTGCGCGTGCTGCCAAAGATTTAGGCTCAGCAAGACATCATTAGTTCTTACCATGCTCATTTGGAGTTGTGATGGTGTATAATTTCTTTTTGGTTTTATGGCTGCATGAAATTATAAAGCATTTCACTCATTTACACACACACACACACACACACACACACACACACACAGAGAGAATTTAATGACAATGTAGTAGAACCTAAATTAACTTGGAAGGATCTGGATTTTCTTTCATTCAAATGAGTGCATTAGTCATGGTGGGAAGCCGCATGGTGGGAAGCTGTGACACAAACCTCACAGATGAACACCCGGGCGAGGAGATAAGCAAGCAGCACAGGGCCACAGGACAGCTTCCCAGGCAGAGCTCTGAGCTCTCACCAGCACTCAGTCTCTACACACACCACCACCACTGTTCAGCAGCGAGCAAGGAAACGCTATCTCCATGTCTAGCTGCCTATGGACATGAATGCTAGGCTCAGCTCCACAGCAGGGAGCGGCATGTAATTCAAAGCAGAACTACGTACTACTCCTGGAAATCAAATACCGACTTAGTCACAGTGTGCTAATCTTAGCGAGCGGAAGAAATGGTGCTTTAACTATGTGCATAAATGGTTTAAAAAAAAAAAGATGAATCCAAGCCTCACAAGGGATAAAACAGGAGAAGGGAACCAAAAAACCTGTTGGTTCAATAAGATAATGCACTAGGCTCAAAAGGAACAGATCTAGATCAGTGGTGCTCACACTGACCTCAGGAGTACAGGGCACCCTAAAATTTCAGGATAGCCAAGAGCTTTTTCATTATGTATGTTATAGTTAGTGATAGTT